ACACCTAACAACAATGAGGGTGACGAAAACCACAACAATAGAGAGAATTAAATTTGAAAAAAGAATGGACTGTCTTGGCACCTCTCTTTCTCCTTGGGGCCTGACAGGGTGCTGGCATAGGAGTACAGAGAAATAAATGGTGGTCGTACTTAGACTCCCCTTGTCCAGTCATGCCCCTTCCCTGCTCTGATACATTTGTTCATATATTTTCTTCCTAGCAGCCCCTCAAGGTGTTCTTGGCCACAGCTTGCCAGGAAGTTGACATGCATACCATCTCCAGGATAAGTGCCTATCTTCCTGAAGCCTCCTCTGTGCAAGGGCCATCCAGGCACTGTTACAAAGTGCTACAGAAGGAAGAGGAAAGCTTGTCAGCACTGGGGCTTCCCAGAGGTGGGGCCCACAAAGGTGTGGCTCAAAAAAAGTGACAGGGGCAAAACCCAGCAGAAACGGTATGCGTTGTGGGTATCACCAGGCACTTGGAAGAAAAGAAAGAGCAACTATGCTATTTTCTTTAAGAATCAGAAGCTGATCCTTCTATTGGTTCTTGGCAGACCCTCAGGAACCTAGTCCTACCAACATTGTCTCGTATATTCAAGAGCTCAATAGGCATGGAGAATGAACACACCACCCAAAGATAAATACTCAGATTCTTGTGTCTCTAATTCCAGAGAATACACAATAAGGGAGTTCTTAGCAGCCAATTGCTCATACAGAAACCACAGATGTCACCAAAATGAACCTCAGGACAGGAGTTACTTCACTGCCACGTCCTGTGTGGCCACTGACCTGCCCCTGAGCCTGCTGGGCTTGGGAAAGTCCTGTCCTAGTTTCCTCTACTGGGCTTGCTGTCTGGTTCCATCCCAGTGAGCTCTACCAGGGCTGGGTGAGGTAGGGCCATGATGTAACTTCACCCTTCATAATAAAAATACCGAGACTTCAAAAAAAAAAAATACCGAGACTTCTACACATGGGTGTCTGATGCTTAGAAGAGATCCTCTGGAGCAGTGCCATCATTTCTGATGATGCCACCATTGCTCAGAGCAACCTGGAAGCTGCCTTCCCTGCCTTGGGCACATCATTTGGATTATCAGCAGAGGCGGCACACTTTCTGCCTTGGAGGGAGGGTTAGATCTTTGGTGACACTCAGCACAATTCCAGGGCAAGTCTAGCATCAGTGAGTTACAGCAATGGAACAGTATTTTGGGTCAAATATCCAGATGTGACTTGATTGTCTGGTGACTGGTCTCCATTGCTCAGGTATCTTGAGTTGTGCACCTTTAGCAGGGCACGTGCTAATTTCTTTATGTGGACTAATAGTAGGAACCTCACTTTAGTCTTCTCTTTTCTTTCTTTCTTTTTCTTTCAAGACAGGGTTTCTCAGTGTAAGCAGACCTGGCTGTCCTGGACTCACTTTGTAGACCAGGCCAACCTTGAACCTGCCTCTGCCTCCCAAGCACTGGGATTAAAGGTGTGTGCCACCATGTCTGGCTAGTCTGTTCTTTTTCTAGAAGACTAAATATGACCTTAAATACAGATTCCCCCTCTTCTTCTTCTTCTTCTTCTTCTTCTTCTTCTTCTTCTTCTTCTTC